TCTATCTGAAGAAAGATTAATGTTAATTAAAGGGGCTTTGGAGAACTTCAGCAGATGACAGCAGCCAAGCTGGCTACAAGCTATTTTTAGAAAATTGACTTAATTGCATTTGGTATGATTTATTTATTAAGCTAATGGATGAATCAATAGCTCAGCTGCTTCTCGCAGTCACTGACTGTGGAACTGTATATAAAGACTGTGTTCATATCTTTGGTCAGAATTCAAATTATGAAAACTGACCAGTATTGATTCAGGCCAAGTGCACAAGTATCTTGCATGTGATGTAGCCATGCAATAATAATCCAGTGAGTCCATCAGCATGTACACGTGTACAAGGTCACAGGGGAAAACCATTCAGAAGACCAACTTGCAACTGTATGGAAAATAACATGGTAATAATTTTAACCTTATATCCAGAGTAAATGTTTTTAAAATGAGAAATTCAGTTTCTGTTTTAAATAAGAGTATTGAAACATACAGCAAACAGGCCATAAAAGTATAACATTAAAATAATGGATAGTTTACAGAGTTGCAATTTGTTTTTCTTTAAGTGTTGTCTTCTCAAGTTCTCTTCCCATTTGGGCTGTGGTTCATTGTTTCTTGCCTCCATTTGAGCACAAACTTCCTGGTTTTTAACTTTCCTTAACTTGGATGAAGTCCAAGTTTTCCCTCTTCAGTGATATTCTGCTTTAATTTGTGAAATAGTAAAGCTTCTGTCTGTTCCAATACAACTGTATTGGCCTCACTCCAGTTTATTTCCTATATTTTGCTAATTTCTTAGGTTGCTGTAGAAACCTCGCTTTCAACAGTCTCCTGAGTCCTTTTGGTGAACTTCCTGCAAACCCAGTCTATGCATTATATGTCAGCCTGAGATGCACTTTTTTTCCTAAAATAGTTACCTTAAAAAAGACACAAAGTTTCTATTCTTTCACAAACTCCCATGCAAGTAGTTATATGAGACTTATTATATCCTAATTATTTTTATAGAATCTCTATTCTATCTTTCCTGATTCAAAGACCGTCACCAGTTTATCCCAATATAACGTGTGGTTCTTTGTTTTTATTGTGTCAGCTCTAATTTCTACATCTAGGAGTAACTTCATTTCTCTTCTGCAAAGGGATATGAGAACTGGGGTGTCTCTGTTACATGCAGGGTATGATAAAGACCGGATGAGGCTGATGTCTATTGAAATTTGAATATAAATTGTGGGACCTTTCAGAGATTATCTTTTACGTAAACTTGTGAAAAATTAAAGCTAGCTAGTATTTAAAAGAATTTCACTCTTAAGTAACATGGCTTGATGTAGTGTGAAAATACTGCACTTTGGAAGAGAAAGACTTTGTACAGTAGGTCTCTAGGTGAAGTTAGTGACAGTCTTTTCAGCTTACTGGAAGCAGCTGTCTGTATATTTACCTTTGCTCTTGGTTGGTTGTGTATTTGCTCTGAGATAAAATGCCATTTATATTGTAGGATGCTGGATGTGTTGTTCAACTAGAAAAAAATATAATAAAATCTATAATAAAACTAAAATGTGTGAAAGATGAAGAGTGAATCTGCACAAAAATTGGGTCCCTGGTGAACTGAATTCTGGCCCTTCTAATGTGCTCTTTGCTGCATTATATTGTAGTGTACAAAGCCCACAGTAGTTAATGTGTACTCATGCTACCTGGTCCTTTGCTTTTCTGATCGCCGTGTAATTGCTTCTTGAAAAACTGTGATCAAAAAAGCTTCTGTAAAATGTCTTAACAAAACCAACCTGCAGAGAGAGGTTGCTCCCAAGAAAATGAAAAAATGTATGCCATGTGCAAGTCCCATGTCACCGACTCTGTATCATCCTGTAGCTGAAATCTCCTCTCTGTAATTGTCTGGTCTCTCTGTTCTTTCAGGTGTCAGTGACCAAATAAAGGATTTGCAAAATAACAAGGAAACTTCCAAACAGGTCACAATAGATAGTGACATTTAAATGTAATTCAGAGAAATACTCAAAATATAAATTTTTCCTTAAGTTGGACATAGCAATTAACGCATTGATTTTTCAGTTTGCCTTGATTTTGCTGTTCTTTCTTACCATTCACCACAATGTTTTTGGTTTTCATGGTAACTTTTGTGTGCGTGACATTGTGTAGTTCCTTACACTGTGGATTTCGCTGACCATTGGAGATTTTGTAATAGCAGTTTGTTAACAACAAACTAAGCACTTCCAAATTTCTTTTCAGAGTATTTACCATGTGGTCGGAATGAACTGGGATTTATGATTTTGGAGTGAAGAATATGCAGCATGTTTCACAACTGGTTCTGCCTCTAAAGTTTCATTTGCGAGTGAATTGTATGGCATGATATTTTGTGTGTGAAATTGAAGCTGATCAGGACATTTTGCCAGAAAGAGAACCAGGCTGTTTCTTATCTGTATGTTATTATTCGCTACTAACAGGCTGCCAAATAGGCAGATTAAATCCCTTTTTCTCATAGATACATTATTATATAGCAAAACCAAAAATTCTCAGATATATCATACTTATGAGCAGTAGAAGAGTTCAGGCTGTGTTAACTGCCTCTTTAACTGTGTTAAATCCTTCCACTGCATGTGATGCCATTAAACTTCAGTGAAACTCACAATCAAACTTGATACACAAAGTCATATGTCTTTATGATGTCCTGTACAGTATCACATTTAACTGGCAGTCTGCTGCGGTGCGCCTCTCTTCCAGGAGTTGTAAGATGGAGTGAAATCTAATGTTCTGAAATTAAGAAAACATAGTCTTCCTTAAAAACTTGATTTCAACGCTGAGGCATTTATAGAATTGTATATTTATGTGTCTCTGGTCTCTTTCAATTTCAAGTTTGTTATTTAGTCTAGATTTTTAAGCTAAAGATGTCCATGTAGGATTGAAAATGTATTAAGATAGATATGGTGAGCTGGAGCTATAAGGTGAGAGATTGTTTATTTAAACAGTAACATAACTTTTAATATATCTTTCTCTGTCAGAAATGTGGAATTGTGGTAGCTGACATTTGACTTTAAAATGTGCTACTGTTTGGACTGCAACTTGGCAAAGTCAGAGTATGTTAAACTCGACACAAAACTTTGTAGAAGTCTTTGCGGAAAATTATGCTAATTAATGGTTTATGGAAGCTAGAGAGTTTAACGAGTCTATTATGCTGATTTAAAAAAAAAAAAATTCTGATGTATTCCAAGAAAGTGCTTAATAGTTGTGCCGAGGGTGACCAATAAAGAAATCTGCCAGGTGGAATTCCCTGCTGGTGGAGTGCTGGCAGCAGAGGCTCGGTGTTCCTCTTCTGCTAGAGGATAGAAAGTCAATGAAGTTATTTTTTGGGTATTCCAGAGTGTGGACAGGCATGGATCTGAAAGAACTAAATAAAAAATGTTTTCTTGTGGACCTCATTCCCGTAGCAATAGAACTGGTCAAGTGCAATGATAGCATGATCTGAGCCATCTGACCATTGTCACAGTATGATGAAGCAGTCCTTCATCACGATGTTCAAACCAATTTCTTGTAGCTATCCCTGGAAACACCATTTGAACAAAGGTCAGATATAGTGAAGAATAAAAGCTCATATTTGTACTTGCTCTGGCAAAAAAAGTTTCAGTTCTCTCCAATTTTCAACTGCATTGAGGATTAGCAGCAATTGAAGTTGCAGAGGAAATAGTTGTTCATTGTTCATGATGAATTTGAATGCTGTAATGTTTGGACCCTGTCTCTACCTTGGTAATCATAGTTGATATTACTTGGAGCAGTGATGGATGTCAGACTTGACCTTTCCTATGCAGTCTTCTGTCTAAAGCTTTCAAACCGTTAATTTCTGAGAGTGACTTACTTGTAGAGATATGGAAAGGCAAGGCTTATGGTGAAAATCAGGAAAATCTTAATGTACTTTCTCTGTTACTCTCTTCTTCCCCTTTTTAGGTTGACTAAACAATATGTGTAATAATTTCAAGATTGAATATAAGGAAATACGTCTATGTAGAAATGCTGACAACTGGAAGGAAAAATTCCAGTAATAGGGAGATAATACGAATACACATTTGATAGCTTCTACTGCTTTACAATTGTCACGGTTTAACCAGGACAACAATAAGTAGTTTTTTATGTGATTTCCATTTCTGTAGGACCCAGAAAATGACTAGTGTTGCTGTGCAGAGCCAGCAGGGAGGTCATTAGTGCAGTTATATTTATAGGTCTGAATTGTCACTATCAATGATACTGCTTCATGAAATAAAAGAAGCCATGTCTGCATGTCTCTGGGGAAAATGTAATATTTACCACCATTTATAGTACATGCTATTCATGCATCTTCAGTATGTGAAAAACTCTTTACCATAAACTTTTGCGGAAAGTAGACAAGTAAGTTCAGTGTGGAACAAAGCACCCTATTTTTCGACGTCAGTGCCAATTATTGCACATAACCCACTTTTTATTACCAATCATGAATTCCAGAGACTTTTGAAACATGGAAGCCATAGGGACTGTGTGGTTTGTTGTCTGTACATGCACATCTAATTAAAAAATGTCAATTTTTGGAATTGCATTTGGGTGCATTTAAGACTGTATAGCAGCTTAGTGAAATACTGAACACAAAGCACATCAGGCTTCAAACATTTAAACTCATTCATATGACTTAGACAATAAACAAGAAATTGTAGAATATGATGACTGATGGATTTTAATACAAAGAATAACATCCTGGTGATTGTAATTCCACTTGGTTGACCTAATTCTTATCTTTCAGGCTAGTGAAGGACACCTTGTTTCTAATGTTTATGTTAATCACATGAAGATTTTTCTTTGCATAAAGAAAGGAAAGGGGTTTTTTTGCTGCTCTTTTGAAGCTTCGTGGGTTTTACTTCTAAATTGGTAGGAGGGATATTTGTGTTTTGGAACAAGTCATGGCACCATTAACATGCTGTGCTGTGTGTTAACTGATCTTGAGAACATTTTTCTACTGATTTCAGAGAACATTTTTCTTCTCCTTATTTCAGGTTGGGTGGGACTATATCTGCATACAAGATAGTGCCAGATGAAATAGAAGAAATCAAGGTACAGTATTACTGCCTTTCAACACTGAATTTCTTTGCTTGGAGAATTACAGAAATGTTACAATAAAGAGCCATTTTATTTCTTGCTTTGAAGTGTATCGGGGGGAGGAGTATCTAAAGTAAAATTGTTAGATCCATATTTAGGCAACTAAAATAGAATTTTTGTTATTTTTGCGGTACAGTTTACCTTCAGCTTAAGTTGACTTCAGCAGGGTTTGTTTGATGCCAGAAACCTGTGTTATTCTACATATTTCTGTTTTGTTACTTGAAGACAGATGCAGGACTACTGTGAACATTGAGTTATATTTTCATAGCAAAAAATAAAGATGAATGTAGTGTCCTTTTGCTTTGAGATCAAAAGCACGTCCATTTTTTTCAATATTATCTGTCTTAAGAAGGGGATGGTATGAAGTCATTGGTACTCAAAATCATTAAAAGCTCTTTGATTTTGATGAGTGATAACAATAAATACTGAATACCTCCAATGCAGTGTGCATTATGACAAAGCTCACTTTAGCTGAGTCCGCTCATGGAAACTACTTCAGCAATTTTTGTTAATTTTGTTCTTCAGTGGAGTAAAAGTTGGGTGGGAATTTGGCCTAGATCTTGTAGCATGGTCTATGTAGTTGGTACTTTATTTGATTGGAGGTCAATCAGTCTGACATATTGCTTGCTCATTGTGATTACTTAACCCATTGTGCTGTTTCATAGATTCATTCTCAGCTGTGCAAAGGGAGTCAAAAGTAGTTTAAAATCGAGTAAAGGGAAGTGGTTATGTAATCATTTGATCTAGACATGGCTTTGCAGTGTGTACAGTTGTGAGAATTTATTCCTCCTCAATTAGCATCAAACCCACTGTAAACAAATACAGTGACTGCCTGTATCTGCATCAGTCAAAGTTACCACACTGCTGCAATCAAAATTTATTTCTCTCTTCTGAGATTCATGGACTCCTCTAACCTGAATTAGCAAGAGGAGCATGTTTTATTAGGATAGATCCAATGTTTAGACTTTGGTGTTAGAAAGAAAGAAAGAAAGTGTCGTGGTTTAACCTGGCTGGCAACTAAGCACCATGCAGCCCCTCACTCACTCCCCCCCTCCCTCAGTGGGATGGGGGAGAGAATCGGGAAGGAAAAAAAAAGTTAGAGACGTGGGCTGAGATAAAGACAGTTTAATAAGAGGAAAAAAAAAATAGTAATAATGAGAATGGTAACAGAATATACAGAATATACAAAACGAACAGTGCACAACGCAATTGCTCACCACCCGCCGACCGATGCCCAGCCCATCCCGAGCCGCGATCACTCCCCGAGCTGCAATCACTCCCTGAGCTGCGATCACTCTCCCCGCAACCGACCAACTAACCCCCCCGAGCATGACGTTATATGGTATGGAATAGCTCTTTGGTCAGTTTGGGTTAGCTGTCCTAGCTGTGCTCCCTCCCAGCTTGTTATGCACCTGGGTGAGCAGGAGAAGCTCAAAAAGTCCTTGAGTAGTCTGAGCACTACTTGGCAACAGCTAAAAACATCAGTGTGTTATCAACATTCTTATCGTACTAAATCCAAAGCACAGCACTATGCTAGCCTTTATGAAGAAAATTAACTCTATCCCAGCCGAAACCAGGACAGAAGGTTGTCAAAACTTACTAGTGTTATGTAGTATTTTCATGATGTTCAGAGAACTGCACCAGAACTATAAAAACAAAACCAACAAAAACCCTAAACCATAATCTTTCTTCTTTAATAAAAGAAATCCAGACCTACTGACATTTTGCTAATGTTGAAGGTGGAGAAAAGGAAGCTGATATTTCTGGCTTCGTTGTGCAAACTGAGTTAGGTGAACAAAGAAAAATGGAATTCTGGGAAATAAATAATTTTTGTTTTAGGAACTTACTGTATTAGGCAAGATCAGTAGTCACAGTAATGTATTTTTCTCCCCACCTGCTAAGGAGGCCTGTTCTGATTTTTCAGCTCTTTCTTACTCAGCTGGTGTTTAAATGCTTGAGATCCTAGGAAACTGCAAAGGATGGGCTACTCATTGATCTCTGTTGTGCCAGCATGTAAGTGTGGAGGGAGGATTGTATTGTTCTAAGTCAGAGCTATTTAAAGTGTTTGGGAAAAATCACCTTCCTTATTTGTTTCTGGGAGCTGCCTTGTCTTGTTCGGGTAGTGGGTTTTTTTAGGTTGTGACTGAAGTTAGTCCACCTCTCACACCTTAAATGATTGAACTGCTCAAGCTGTAATACAATAGGTGTTATTCCTATGAAATAAGGCACTACTGGAAGATGCTAAGACACACTAGCAGTGAGTATAATGGACAAATCTGTATCGAATATGGAAAAGTATTCTCTTGCATATATGTATTTTGAATAGCAGCTGGCAAACAGGGAGACTGAGTATTCTTGCAGTAAATATAGGGGGAGTCTTAACTTCTGAAAGGTTTTCCAAGCAGATTTGAGTAGAAAAATGAGAGAAGAGGAAATAAAAGAGAAAGCAGCTGGGATTATTGGAATGTTACTTCTAGAGAGGACAGAATCTTCTTCTATGCACAATAGTTCAGACTTTTTTTACCGCACAACTATCCCTCCCCTATTTAAACATGAAATATTAAGGGGTTTAATTTGATGAAATATGCAAGAAGAATACCTCCAGTTTTAATATATGATTTAACTTGATGGGTTGCTGAATTATATTCACAGGAGTTGGAATATTCATGTTTTCTGATGGCCCTTACAAAGTAAACTGCGTGCTTAAATGGCAAAGGAGGGTACTTTATCAGGCAGAGAGCAGTAATTACTATGACAAATAAATAAGTCTTTTTGACAACATTTCCATATATTCTGGAAAAGGTGGTAGATTAACCTCTTTTACAGCTCAAAATAATTTTTATTGATTTTGTTAATACATGTAATTACATCTTAGGTAGAACACCATTGTAAGCAGAGACTGTATCTCTGAGTTTATGGAAGAAGAAAAACTCTTTAAGCCTTAATATACCTGGCAGTTGAAAAGTATCTTTAGAAGATTACTTAAATGCATGTTTCTACATGTATTAGTAATTTTTAAAATAACCTGTATTATTATATATGTATACATAGGAGAATTTATTTGTCCATATTGCAATACTTGGCAAATTTTATGTGTTTATAATGTTTCCATTCTGGAGTGTTTAGAATATCTTTATCCTTGCATGTGAGTTTGATTTTACTATGTGTGTATATGTACTGTGAGATCACATATGGTTTATGTATCTAGAATATTGCCTGTACATATGTGTGCCCATTTCTTTGAGTGTATACAATCAGTGTTGGGTATAATCGAAGCAGTGCATTCTGCTTACCAAAATTAAGTAGTGTCTGGCGTGCTTCTAGGCATATGACTCAGGAGTATTTATGGCAGAAGTGATAGCATGTACCCTAGCTACCCTCATGCACCAAGGTTAGGAAGAATTGTATGGAACCGGTCACCACTACAATTCCTCAGCAACTGTATCAGCCTGAAATGGAGTGTGATTTAACTTACCTTCCCTAGGTTTTTGTCTTGGGCATTTAGGTTCCCAAAGTGAGAGGCTCAACAGGTAACCATATGAAAATACCATCACAGATTTCCCCCGAAAGCTTTTCTAGAAGGTAGAAATATCTTCTATCGCAGATCTTCAGGACCAGTGCTTCAATAAGAGAAGCTTTCAAAGGAGGAAAACCTAAGTGAATGCCTAAATGGATGTAAATACAGGATCTGCATTCCTGTTGTTTCTCTAAACCAGTTAAAGCAATGGCACTTCATTTTCAGTGCCTGCTGGTTTTAAAATACTGCAGGAACTGATGAAGACAGTAAATACAAGAATTGCAGCATATTTCTGGGAAAGTGTCATGGTTTTGAGTTCCTCTAGACTTCTATTCTCATCAGAATTATTTATCCTGTAAGCAAGGAGCTTTTCAAAGTTGGCAAAATACATTAGCAAATTTCAGCCTTGCTCCTTGTCCGTTGTAGTAGTATGTTGTGCGTAAAGGAGAGGTCTTCCAAGTCACATAATTTCATGTACTTAGGGACTGGGCAGCATATCGGGCTGGTTTTGAAGAACATCATCTGGTTGGAAATTAAAGCAATTGCATTTGAGAGAAAAAGAATAGCAGCAAACTTAACATTTCTATATTTCTATTTAATGACATTCATGGCAAAATACAATTTTGCTTTCAATGTGGAGTTTGCCTCAAGAGTAAAGAGCAATTTATGACTGTTACCAATGAGGGAAACTTTGTGTGATGTGCCTGTAGATAGTTTTATAAGTCAACAATAGCATATTATGGTTTATAATACCATGAGAGATGCTCTTTTTGATTGCAGCATTCTGTCACTATAAAGGAAATACATGATGTTGTGAAGGATTGTTATTCTAGAGGAAGACTGATTGAATGAGAAGGCCATTCATTAACAGATTTCTGAAAAAAATACTTGGTTTGCTAGGATTTGCAAGTGAAGAGCAGAAAGGAATTTAATTGTTCTTTTTTTTTTTTTAAGTGCTTCCCCATATGCTTTTCATGTAGGCATATGCATGCATCTCATTATCTCAAGACCAGAAATGAATTTGGCAGCAGGTGTTCAATTCATAAAAGTAATATGCACAAGAAAGACATTGCCATTGTATTTCATTCTTGTAATAGTTGCAGTACAAGACAGATATTCCAGTGTAGAGAACAAGGTTAAATGGTTACCTCCTCTGGAAGTTAATTTTAAGAAATCTTGTTAGAAATTTTTCTTAGTACTGGTTGTAAATTTGTAAATTTAGATGTAAAGCAGTTCTGGAGGAAGATGGGAATTTTTTTTAGTTCTGTTATCTACCCTTTCACACAGAGACATACTTTATGCTCCTCAAAGAACACCTGTAATTCTTCTATAGTTGCTCTTTAAATGAAAGCCCATATGCATAAAGTATTAAAGGCTACCTTTAAGACTACAGACCTTTTCCCTGAATAATGGTAGGATAGCTCTCTTTTTTTCTTTA